ACGGACTACCGGGTTATACGGGCTTAAGTTTGCTAAATTATCTGCTTCGGTGGAAGATTTTCTTACTTAATCTCGTATAATTGGTCGGTTCTGTTACAAGGTAGGTCCAGCTCAGTCCGTCCTCGTCTTGGCGGGGAGCAATCGACGCTACCAGGGCGACACGTGGACAGGAGCCAAAGCGAAAACGTGTGCGTGCAGGCGGTGGGGTAGCGTGGCATGCGCGGCCGCAGCACCGTTAATGGCAAGGTGACGACGCGATACAGCAAGGGGCAAACCCACGTGCTCGGAGACGCGACGACGGCAAAGCGGCGTCCACGACGCGAGAGACGGCGAGGGCGAAGAAGAGGAAGATGACGGCCGCGACGCAAAGAGACGGCGGCGAAAAGAAAGACGGCGCCGCACGGCGACATCAAGAGCTGCAACGCGAGACAGGGCAATGGGCACGGGATGGGGTTAGTGGCCCGCCGCGACCGACCTCAGCCAAGCCAAAGGTGGCTCGACCGACCCAACGCGAAGGCGCGGCGCGCGAGACGCGAGGCAGTAGTGGCGGACACGATGGCAGCGCAGCGCGGGACGGGGCAGGCGGCAACAGCGGCGGCTCCGCGCGGCAGGCCAGCGGCAGCCGAGCCCTGCCCAGGCCAGAGGTGGCCAAGGTCGGCCGGCCCCGCGCGCGTGACCATGGGCGCAGGGGTGGGGTGGCCACACAGTGACCGCGCCCACGACGCCAGACCGCTCAAGACAGTGACAAGCATGAATTTTAAAGCGTTCAATATAACCAAACGATTGCTATAGGACCTAAACCATCTTCACCATGCTTAAGATGGCACATAAGACTACCAAATCGAGTTATAACACTACACCACTCCTTAACCCAATCTCTTATAATAAGTTGCTAAACATAACCGTGTTTAACTGTTGACATACTTGAAATTTTCTAAGTTTCTTAGCTGAATTTGATTTCTATTTGTGATTTCTAAGCTTGTGAAAATATTAGCCAGTAATATCATTTTTCTACAAGTATTTCACTGTCATCTACAAAGCTTGTACTTTCAACTTTATTAAGGTGACACACATATGTTATATAGCATTTTTACTTAATAAAAATTAATTTTAAACCCTAAGTGATATAACGTGACTATCGAATCAACTTTCGTTTCGCATTTTTGTTGATTATTTTGAGTTATGAAAATTGATCTCCATACGTTATTACATGCATTAATATATAAACATAATGCTCATAATATGTTTTAGTAAATAATTTACGGTGTAACACCGACGGTGTCACAACCTACTCAGATGGACCCGGTTCAAAGTCAGCCTGCTTTGTGTTGTGTAGTCACATCTGGAAAATCTTTTAAACAACGAATCAGAGATAGTGCATTGAAAAAGTATATTTCTTTTCTTACTACCAGATGTACTGTAGCGGCATTGGTAAAAAAGAGGAAAGTACATGAGGAAAAAAATGGATAGTTTTTATTCAAGATCCAAAAGAATATTAAAAAAATTATGGACACGACGAGTAAGAGAGGCCACAGCATCTTTCTTTTGTGTGGTGACTACTGAGGTGTTTTGTGGACCGTGCTCAGTTGTACCGCATTTGCCACTGTTTCCATTTACCTCCTTCAGGGTCAGGGCAAAGGTGAGTGAAGAAACCATTATTACGGCTGCTCAGCTCTGGTACAGCGGTGAACATTATACAAGTACACTCGCTGCACCAAATATCTCCGGTATACTGGTACCCTGGTACATCAGTGAACATTATACAAGTACACTCGCTGCAACAAAATATCTCCCATATAGTAAGTTTCACAAGATATCTTGCCGGCCCGGTAGAAATGGTCACCACAGGGCCAACTGGCCAAGGCAGAGGAAATTAGGGCTTTATTGTCTTTGCCTATGTCCATCCCGTACTGTCCGTAATGGCCAACGGGTCCCTCACAGGGGCACATCTCAAGGTTCCACATGAGCTGAACTTTTGTTTATCTGTCTATCGTAGTACAGGTACAGTGCAAAGGTGTTTCCTTTTTTTCTTTCCGGCGAAAAGCCAGGTTCTTCGAGGAGTGAGTATATAGGGCCTGTTTGGTTTAAGACTTAAAATTTTTGTCACATCGAATGTTTGATACATATATAAAGTATTAAATATAGACTAATTATAAAACTAATTGCATAACTTGCGACTAATTTCCGAAACGATTCTTTTAAGCCTAATTAGTCCATGATTTGACAACGTGGTGCTACAGTAAACATATACTAATGACGGATTAATTAGGCTTAAAAAATTCATCTCGTAAATTAGTCTCCATCTATGTAATTGGTTTTATAATTAATCTATATTTAATGCTCCTTATTAGTATCTAAACATTCGATGTGACATGAATTTTAGAAGCGACTAACGAACCAAACACCCCTGGAGACTAAAGTTTAGTCCGGTTATATCGGACGTTCGGATACTAATTAGGAGGACTAAATATGAGTTAATTATAAAACTAATTATACAGATAGAGACTTATTTACGAGATAAATCTATTAAACCTAATTAATCCATCATCAGCATATATTTACTGTAGCACTATATTATCAAATCATAACCTAATTAGGTTTAATAGATTCGTCTCTCAAATTAATCTCAATCCGTACAATTAGTTTTATAATTAGTCTATATTTAATACTCTAAATTAGTGTCAAATATCCGATGCGACGTGGACTAAATTTTAGTCCGTGGAACAAACACTCCCTTATTGAGGTTACCGTACTAGTAGTAAATGTTTGAGTCGTCGAATCAAATTAGCAACTCTTTTACACACGAATACCAACTCTCGATGAATCACAGAATTAAATATCTAAAACCATAGAATGAAACTTTGTATTAAGAGTAAATGTTTTACTCATGTTTCATTTTATTTTATATGACATGACAACCTTGAAAACAAGACTGCGAAACTACACTGAGATTGGTATTAATAAAATTATTATAAAAAATATTTTCTGTTTCAACTATAACACTTAATATTGCATATATTGAATATTAATATTATATAATTAATTAAAAACTATTTTAGCAAAGGAGGGAGCAGGGAGATTCGGAGGCAGACTTGCAGCTCTGTGCCAAGTGTCTGTGGTCCTGTGCCTCTTGGTTGGTGTAGGGAAGCAGTCAAGCAGATGCTACCTTGTCTAAAAAAGGAAAATTAAAGAAAGACCCACAACAAATCATAAGCTAATAAGATCCTTCAGTTGTTAGAGTATGTCCGAGAGAATTGCTATCTATCTTGCTATTACTATTTTTAGCTAAAACTCTAGAAAACTGGCCTCCAACAGACTGGCTAATGTGATTGCTATCCTATTCGACATCCTATCTCGTGAGCCTCGGGAGCTAAATTTGGCTAGCCGGCCTGCCTTGCTATCTTGTGTATGCGAGGCTAACAACTAGTGTCATGTTTGCATTGCTCTAAATTCCATTCATTCCCCTAAGAGATATAGCTAATCGGTTGGAATATGTTAGATTATGAAAAAAGAATTTTTATAAAGTAGATAGCTAAATAAAAAAAATAGAACATGAAATTTAGAATGTCTCCCGAAGATGCTCTTACCCTAATAATAACGATTTGCAACAGGTAGTCAGTAGCCAACAGCTGAACATCGTGATTCAGGAGAAGTGACCCGCGGAGCTCGATCGGTTCAGTTTCACGGCCTTTTGCTTCATCTTTCAGAAAAGCAAAGGGTGCCAAAATTCGATCCAATTTTTCGGAAAACGAAATGCCCCCTAGCGAAAGTACCACCTTTCGCTTTCCCTCGCCAAAGTTGAGTTGAGCTGAGCAGCAAAAGAAGGGAGGCATCTATTTCAGCAACGTCTCTTTCTGATTGTAAATTATCGCAAACCTAGTTGTCTTCTATTTCAGAAGCATGGAAACAAAACAGGGCATTCGCTCCTGGAGGGCTCAGGAGCGGTGAACCACCACTAAACCATAGGCGAAGAACTGAAAACGACTCCACCCGCAGCAAATGTTCATCAGCCAAAAGACTATTCTGAAATAAAGCCGCATCTCGCTTTCGGAACCTGACAGGCGAACAAACCAACACACAGAGATAACAAAGGGGATGAGTGATGAGTAGCAAACGGGGGAAAGAGGAAAAAGAAACACAGAAGAGACCTGCTGCTTCCTGGATTGTTCTTTCTTGCGCCCCCAAAATGTCATTGTTCCAGGAAGCAATAGTTACCACATTCATACAAGCAGGCTTATCATCTTTCAGCCTAATCCCACGCGACAAGCTACACATATAGACATACTACTACTACAAATATAGCAGCTAGCAGGCCGGCAGCCCCCTCTTCTAGGCAGGCAGGCAGGAAGGCAGCTGCCACTGTACAGATCATGGGTGGGATCGATCAAAGGCACAAGCTAGTACTACATGCCCCAGCTAGACGAAATTAAACATGAGATCGACTCGATCTATGTACAAGGACAGAGGCCAAGCTAAGCTTATACGGTAGGGCTTGTAAAGCATAGTACTACGGCTGTTTCCAACGGGAGACCATTGCTAAACCCACCCAAACCTCCACGTAATACTAAAGCCAGATACGAGTACTACATGGAAGACCCATCATAGATGCCGGGAAGACATATTTAAGTATCCTTTCTTCAGGATGGGTTGTCTTTTAGTCTCGTTGTCGGATATATATATATATATATATATATATATATATATATATATATATATATATATATATATATATATATATATATATATATATATATATATATATAGAACCCTTTGCATATAACTGGAGGACGGTTGTATTTTGGGTCGCGGTGGTTGATAGTCGACGGCGGCAATATGGCATACTATCAGCTAGTCTAGTGTTCTAATCACTACTAGTAGTAACCAAGTAGCAGCACACACTAATCAGTCACTTGATTGCTACTAGTCCGTAATCATCGCCTCCAAAAAAAGAGCAACCACTTGCTTCGACTGATCACCGGTCAATGTCCTCGTCGGAGTCCTCAAAATGGCGCGGACGGCATCCTCTGCAGAGTCTTCCTCACAATCGGCACCGCCACCTCCACGGACACCCTCAGCTGCCGAATCCAGACACAAGGCGCGAGCCTTTGAGTTGAGCATGTGCATATATAGAGGGATGGATGGACAACGGTCGATGGGTTTGTTACCTGGTCGTACTTGACGCGGAGGCTCTCGTTCTCGTCCTGCAGCATCTGCACCTTCCTCTCCAGCTCGCGGACGTAGGCCTGCTTGCGCGCGCGGGAGCGCGCGGCGGACTCGCGGTTCTTCATCATGCGCTTCTTGCGGCGATCGGAGCCCCCGCCGGCCCAGGTGGCGGCGGCGGCGCCGAGGCACATCTCGTCCTCCAGCACGCCGCGGGCGGCGGCGGCGTCGAAGGGCGCGACGTCGGCGGCGGCGGCGTCGAGGTTGTACGGGAAGAAGGACGACGCCGGGGTCGGCGCCACGGCATTGCGGAAGCCGCCGCCGAGTGCCATGTGGTGGCGGACGCCGTCGTCCGCGGCGTAGGCGCCGCCGCCGACGCCGCGGCCGGTCGGGGAGGAGCCGCCCGCGGCCGCGGCGGAGGAGAGGTGGAGGCGGGAGTTGAGGCTGAGCTGCGTGGAGATGAAGGCGCTGCAGGTGGAGACCGCGCCCGCCGCGACGGGCTGCGGCGGGGACGCGCTGGGGCTGCTCACGGTGTTCGCCCATATGTCCTTGTCGTCCTCCATGTCTATGGCCGCCATCCCCCCCCGATCGCTCGGCTCTCGCTCGTTGCCTGTTGCTTGTTTTGGGCACGCACCGGCGCCCCACAGGGCCACAGGGCTGGGTGGGTGGCTGGCTTTAGTAGCCACGGACTCCAAGTCCAAGCGGAGGAGGGGGCCTAGTAGACTCCAAGCCCAGCTCAGCTCACTGTGTGGTGTTTATGTTTCTGTGTGTGAGGCAGCCAATGACCGAGAGATCACTGTTGACCAGTGACTGAGACCTGGCACTGGTCAAATGGCAGCAGCGAGCCAGACGAATCGTATTTGTCTTTCATAATAAATGGCACTAGTCCGAGTCTCCCGTTGTGCCCGGTTCGCATGGCTAATCAGCTATACTTTTTTTAAGTCAATGTATAGTATTTTTTTCTCGTAATAAATTAATAAATAGTACTTTTAATCCTGTCTTATCAGCCGAGCGATGGCTCGCTCAGGGTTTTGCCTGCGATTGGCCAGTCTCCCCCTTTCTCCGTCGTGGATTCATGAGTAAATCTAGTACGCCGTCTACTGATGCCATTAAAATCCCAAAATAAATAAAAAATAAACAAATTGAAGCCTTGAATCTGGATACAAAGGCTTTACCACACGAAAGATCACGAGGGGCTACACTCAGTCTCTTGGGATCAACAAATTCACTAACACCCCGTTTGGATGTAGATATTATTGAAGCCTGGAATTTGAATTGGTATTAGGTGTCTTCAGTACCTGCTGTTTGGATGTTCTTGGTATTGGAATTGGAAATCTCCTCCAATACCAAGAGGTATTGGGCCTTCAGCCGCACCCCTCCCTCATTTCAGACCCATTCCCCTCCGTATTCATCGGCATTGGCACTCGTCTCGTCTCCATCTTGCATCCCCCGCTGCACCGCGCCTCACATCTCCCAGTCGCCACTCTACTCCGGCGGCACCCCTTCCCCTTCGACTCCGGCAGCGCTCCACTCTCCATTGGCATGCCATGCCGCCCCCATCCCACGTCCTTCCTCCACCAGTGAGGCGCGCCAGCCCCCGTCCTCCTCCGTCGGCCACCATCCTCCCTCCGCGCCCACCATCCTCCCTCTGGCGGTGAGCTGTGCCGCCCCCCTCCTCCCTCCGCCGGCGAGCCATGCAGCTCCCACGCCTCGCGCCGCTCCTGTGCCCATTCGGCGAGGCGTGGGCGGCGTGGGAGAGCTCCGCCCAGGACCGACGAGTCGTGGGTGGCGCAAGAAAGCGCCGCCGCCAGTGTGGTCCGGTGTGGAGAGGAGGAGAAGATGGTCAATTCTCAAATGCCATGGTATGAACATCCAAACACGAATCGATATTCACTAGCTCCTTACGATTCCGTCTAGCAATTTCATCTACATCCAAACAATGGTTTTGGTATTGTAACCCAATACCAATACTACTCGTATTTGATATTGAAGCCAATTCAACGCCAAGGCCTCCAATATCGACATTCAAACGGAGCCTAAGTGGATTCATGCTAAGCCAGTAACAAAGATCACAATTTTTGAAAAAAAAAGATAACAAAGATCACAATGAGGAAGGCCGCGCCATAGTATATAAATTTAGCATGCCCAACTGCATCATCACCGACAATGACACTCCGTTCACAATGAAGGAATTCCTAAACTTCTGCAACGAAGGCTGTTGTGGCACATCCACGGTGGAACAAGTTAAACGGGCAAATTGTCTCATACTCCAAGGCCTCAAACAGTGCATCTTGAATGGTTGAAGAAGTTTGCAATGGGTAACCGAGATGCCTTCGATCGCTTGTTTGGAGATTGCACACAACACCCAATCGATCGACCAACTTCACCCTGTTTTTTATGGTCTACGGTACCGCTGCCATCCTTCCAACCGATCTTGACTACGGTCATCACATGTCAAAACCTACAATGAGAAGGAGTCAAAAGAAGCAAGACAGGATGCTCTACCGGCTTGGCGAAGCTCGGGAGCTTCTGGTTCTCTTGTATGTGCACTTTTGTTGTGAAGTACTTCTTGTACTTGTGAGTGTCTTGCCAACTAGTTTTTTTAAGTGACATCCTATGGCCAATGCTACGGTATTCATTTACTTGTTTGGAGGTAATACCTCAAACAAATTTAAGTCCTTGATTTTATATTTTTTAATTAATTAATATAGAAAAAAGGAAAAGTATTATCAAATCACCCTCGTCACGGACTCACGGCCACGCGAGACATGACATCCAGGTGCTGGCGTCGGGTGCTCGACACTGAGTGCCTTTTCCAAAATTTTGCAAAAATTTTCAAGATTCACCGTCACATCAAATCTTTGGACGCATACATGAAACATTAAATATAAATAAAAAATAAAACTAATTATACAGTTTAAACGAAATTCACGAGACGAATCTTTTAAACATAATTAGATTATGATTAAACACTAATTAATAAATAACAACGAAAGTGCTACAGTACTATTTTCAAAAAAATCGCCAACTAAACCATGCCGGAGAATGTCCCGTCAAACTTTTTCTCCTTCACGTGAGTTTGCGTGGTTGACGTCATGGTTTTTGCAAACTAAAAATAATCATAGCCGCTAAACTAAGCATCTAAATTAAATTCTGATTACGTCATAATATTTGTTACAATAAAATCTTCTAAACAAGACCTCACTTTGATATATTTAGATAAAATTCTGTTAATAAACATTTATCCTATCAAGATAGAACCATTTCTTTTAGATTGAGAATAGACGATGTTCAAGATAGGCGAATCATATTGTAACAGCCTAACAAGCCACCAACAATTACAAACAATAATACATTACATGCACACGTTATTCACTCACATTACATGCTAATCTAACACGTCGCACACACCTATGTTGTATCACATGCAAAACGTAATCACATTGGCACACATGCAAAATACGTTGGCCCATCAACATTACATGATAATCAAATATATTAAGTCAAAAGCTGCAAAATAAAAAAAATATTTACAATATCTGACAAATCACGTGTACACATCAATCAAATCTAGGAAAAAATTATATAAAATTTTCCTTATTTATCCTACTTTACAAAATAAAATCTTTAAATAAATTTATATTTCATCTATTACCTCCTAACCGTCCGATCAAAACAAATGAATGACTCATAGTCATTTAGAAGTACCATAGCAAAGCCTAACATATTAACCTTTTTTTTGTCATATCACATATATTAATATATATGCTATTTTTTCTAACACCTTTTCAAGGGGCATTCACTCTCTAGAGCGGGTTCTGAACTTTACTCATATCCTCTTCGTGCTTAGTGTGTAAGGGTTGTAAATCTTTCTATTATATTGGTACTGGAACTTGTGTTATTATTATCAATAAAAAATAAAAAATCGTTATAAAAAATAAAGAAACGAACGACTAAAACTAAATACATCTAGGCTGTCGGGCCTTTGTTTAGAGAGAAAGCCGGTTGCGGGGGACGGGATCACGTGAGGGGTGTGTTGTGTGCTCAACTTTTTGCCGTGAGCTCATCATCTGTGCATCTGTGGTACTCTCTCCCGTATCAAAATAAATGTTCATCTCGTATTCTTTAGAAGCGAACTAATTTTTCAATTTGACTAGATTTATTGAAAAGAGTATTGACATTTGTATCTCTAAATATGTTTGTTATGAAAATATATGGCGTGATTAATCTAAAGATATTTATTTAATATCATAATCATTAGCATATTTTTGTATATATTTGATCCAACATGAGATTGACTGTGGGAGTATACTCTGCCTCCCAAAATCCCAACTGTTTCAACCGTACCGTTATTCCGGTCTCGGAGAGGAGAAGTCACAGCATCAGCAAACAAGCACACATGCATTTTTTTTTCTTTGTTTTTCCATCCGCGCGGGGTAATAAACTGCGTCCCCGAGGGAGACCGTGGTGACTGGCTCTGGCTGACTGCATATATATTAATATATATATGCACATGTAGACGCCCAGCCAGTTCGTCATCGTCGTCGTCTCCGTAGATCTCGGCAGCAGCAGCAGCAGCAGACCCCACCAATGACACATTGACACACTGCTCGGCGTGACAGAAAGTGCTTCAGGGCTCCGGGAGGTCCTCTGCCGGTCACAGCCCGTCGCACACCGCGATTCTTTTCAGAGGGCCAGAGGGGGGCTCAGGGGAGGGCTGTGTGTGCACATTTGTTTCCGTTGCGGTTTGGCGACGTGAAAAAAGTTACAGCGCCATGGATGCCGGAGCCCATGGTAGTATGGTACACGGCGCCATGTGGGGAGCCGTCCCCTCTCCCTCTGGCGCATTGGCTATTTTGGCTTGCAATTCATGTCGCCTCCCGGCTCCCGTGGTGGGGGCACGAGCACGACGCCACGAGCACCGAGCAGCGCAGAGTTTTTTTTTTACAAACATACGCACTGTTCCATGGGTCCGACACTGTTTCAACGAGGCCCTTGTGGTACGTTGCCTTGGCTTCCAAACAGGCAAACAGCAAAGGCTCTGTTTAGTTTTCAATTTTTTTTACCATCTACGGTAAAAGAGCATGTTTGATACATGCATGGAGTACTAAATGTAGACGAAAAAAAAAACTAATTGCATAGTTCTCGATAAAATCGCGAGATGAATCTTTTAAGCCTAATTAGTCCATGAAAAGCATTAAGTGCTACAGTATCACACATGTGCTAATGACTGATTAATTAGTATCATTAGATTCGTCTCGCAGTTTCCTAATGAGTTCTATAATTTGTTTTTTTATTAGTATTTAAAATCCCTCCCGACATCCTTCCAACATATTCGATATGACACCCAAAAATTTTCACCTCCCCAACTAAACCCACCCTAAACACGCCAAGTATGGCCAGGACAGAACTATTCAAAAGTCTTGGGAACTGCTCTCACTGGCCAACACAAAAGAAACGTCATAAGGGTGGAAGGGTACTCCTACGTTTAGTAATCTACAGTAGCCTTGGTAAGTAATAATTGTTCTGTTTGTTTGGCTGATAAGTCATGGCTGAAAGTATTATTGGCTGATTTGTT